ATGGTAGTGTTTTAAATTATGAAATTGTTTCCAAAAAAAATATAGGATAAGTTGACTTCTGTTTACCATGATAGACACTCTTCTACCATGGTTGAGTTAAATTGTTTTTGAAAAAAAAAATTAGGGCGTTACAACTAGTGCCATTAGATAGCTTATATAATTGTTTGCATGTAAATGCTTGGATCACCTAAATCAAAGATCCGAACCAAAAGTTAGGCATTCTCAAAGTTAGAAACCAAGCATAGTTGTGCTAATATTGTGTGTGCGTCGTGGTAGAATGCTCAATTGGCCACAATGAACGTTGTCTTGACTACAACAGACTACCCTTTTTTTTCAAATTGACTTTTTTGCTCTCATTGAACTTGTTTTTCAATGCTCACACTATTTTCTATGTTTTTTATAATCATTCTTACTTTGAGTTTAGGTATTTTAATGGCTTTAATTTTTGTAATTTCCAAACTTAAGTTAATTTGGGATCCTATTTGTTTCGAAAGTATGTTTTAATTAGTCTTTGAAACTTCAATTACCCAAGGTTGATCCTTTCTTTCTTTGATACTATTCTCAATCTAATTGTTTGGCTTTAATTTTGTTGTTATTATGGGTTAGAGTCTTGGACATTACAAAAGGGGCTAAATATTTTAGGACTCATATAACTATATGGGAAGATGGAGTGGGAGGTATGACCCCGTACCATACAAGTAGTTCCACCATTTGGCATTGTAGTTGACTCAACCATCTTCAATTTGTTAAATAAAACAAGTCATCATTATCTTGCTCCATAAAACCCAAATTCTTGCTAAGATTTCCTTTTTCCACTCCTAGCTTTGTTACTTTCAGCACTTCCCTCTCCTTAATGCTCAGTTCAATCTTGTACTCCAACTCACTAATTTTCAAAGCCAACCAAACCACAATAAATAGATTCAAAGGATTAATGTTCCTAAGCTTTTTCATCCCCATAGTTTTGTAGTTGTTAGCACTTGCAACACGATGCTATACCATCTCAACAGATCTATAACATCGATGCTTGAATCAGGACTCAATACCCGAATCCCATTATAGTCCTTGAAACCTATCCCTCACACTATGTATCCCTTTAACTTCCTTTAAAAGTTAATCCTTTCTTCATTATCACTAAAACAACCTCCTATTGCCATCCCCCTTTCACTTAGCATATGCAACAAAAGGGACCATTGAAACCCCATACCACTACCTCACTATCTCCCGCCATGGATAGAATTGAAAAGAATACATGCTTTGACCAAAACCTTAAGAGAGAAAACCCTAAGGTGCTGAATGCTTAACATATAGTTGTATGAATGTGTGCATAATGGTGTATTTTTTTTAAATACAAGACCACAAGCCCAAAACTTAAGTTATGCTAAAAACAATAAACTAGATTAGACTAAGCCAAAAAGTTCATACGCTCAAGAGGTTGATCATGTAAAATCACTGTGTTGAATGTCTCACAATCAATATGATAAGTGAGCTAGTTAGTGCAACTATTAGTTTCTCTAAACATGTGATCAAAGATGACAATCTAGTCCTAGATTATGAGATCTCTAGCCTTTTTATGGAGTTGTAGAGATGGTGATTTCAATGAGAATTTATTATGCATGAGTGTAACTGTGTAAGGGTCTCAATTGAATACAATGAACACATTAATTTGGGGATAGTTCTCACTTCGACAAAGTGTGAGCCCTTTTAAGATACTCATGATCTTTGCCACAATGCTTGGATGAAATCCAATGTATTTTGTGAAACTCCATCATCAGTTTCCACGATGTTCATCTCATATGAGACCATTACAAGTCTTGTAAGAGAAAAAATGCACTTGTGTTGGTGTACAAGTGTCATCTTCTTTTTCTTTGTCTTTTTTGTCAATATTTATACTCCGATTAGTACCCTCTATATAACATGTCTTCTCAAAGATATAAGATTCAATTTATGGTATCAACATATTAAATAACTTTTCTTTTTAACCAATAATTTAATAGTTATAAATCTCATAATTTGAGCTAAAAGTTTTATAATCCTTTATATATAAAGAAAATAACAAGGGAAAATGATAATAAAATTCTCCCAAATTATATAAATAAAAATCTAATCCCTTGAAATGCCATAATTCCACCAAAGTTTCTAGAGACTTCTATGCCAATAAATTTTAAATTGAAAAAATTATTTTATTATTATTGACAAGTTGTAATTTTTTATTCAATTTTTGTGATTTTTTAAATAAAAGATATTATTTCTTAAATAAAAGTTGTGATTAGAGCTTATCATTTTAAGATCTTATTTTTCAATAATAGAAATTACACTTGACAAGTTATAATTTCTTGTTCAATTCTTATGATTCACATAAGAAAGTTTATTATTTTTTAAATAAAAATTGTTATTAGGACTTTTTTCAATAATAAAATTATACTTGATAAGTTGTGATTTTTTGTTCAACTATTACAATTCACATAATAAAAGTTGTTATTCTTTAAGCAAAAATTGTGATTGGAGTTTTTATTTTTAATAATAATAAGTGATCTTTTTACTTTAAAATTTATTAAAATAGAAATCCCAATAAAATTATAATATTTTAAAAAATTAGATTATTATTTATATAATTTAGGAAGATTTTATTATTATTTTTTAAATAATAAATACTGTTTTTAAAAGAGATTTTTGTGGACTTAATTAGTTTGGAACAAAGGCATATAACATCAAAATTTTTTTTTTGGAAGGGGGGGGGGGTTATCATAACAAAGCTACCGCGTGAATGTAGGGTTTCTAGAGAAATAGATTCCGTCGTCTTGCTGCCGTCGAGGGAACTTTTCTCATCGCCACCTCTTGAGTGACGCCATGTTGTCAAATCTCTTTATATTTTAATTTAATTTTTTTTTAGACAAACTCCGATACATTAATTTAATATTCAAACAAAAAGTACAATTATTATCAATAATATCTATTTATTAACTTCACGTGTTTCAAATTTAAAGAATCATATCAACATGTTTATAATTTATGAATAATATATAATGGGGAGAATTGGTGAAAAGAATGAAGTTGGAAGAGAAAGTATGCTTAAAGACTAAGTTGAATTTAAAAATCAAACTAAATATTTTATTCACTAAATAATCTAAATAAATGATCGAAATGTCCCTTTGTTTAAATTAATAAAATTCAAAAAAAAAAAGATATATGTTCGACACGTGCACCCCTTATACCCAAGCCAAAAACCTTTCATCCTAAGTTAGAACACTTGCACCCTAAATCAAAAATCTTGTATCCAAGTCAGAAGCATTGCACCTTTTGGTTGTTGTTGTTTTTTGTGTTTTTTTTTTTTAACATGTTAAGTATAGGTATAGATATGTTCTTCTATAATTTCCAATCCCCTGCATTTTTTTTATTGTATGGACTTACTATTGTAACAAAATTTAGTCCAACCCAATTTAAATCTAAATATATGGCCCAAGGATGATTCGTTTTTTTAATTTATTGTAATGATCCAGGCAAAAAAAAAAATCAACCCAACTTAAAAGTAATAGAACTTAAAATGAGGTTGAAATATTTAATTTGGGAATATGGGCAAGTTGTAACTGTCCTGATTCCCACCTCTGCAGGCAAGCTTTGTCTCTGTGCAAGAACAAGATCAAGCCTTCAAACTCAACCTCAATGGCGGTGACTCTCCCAACGCAAAGAATAAGCACATCAAAGCCATCATTTGGGTAAGTGGCATATTTTTATTTACTATACACTTATTAAACTTGTATAGCTTTATTAATTTGTTTAATGAGATTTTAACCTTTTTAGGATATGTTCATTGCTAGATTTGAGTCGTCGTCAACTACTCTAGAGTTGGCCTGGCCATGGTAGAATTGATGAAGAACCCAATAACCCAAAAGTGATCATTAACTTCCAATGACTTCATCTGCTCTTGTACATTCGTGTTTTTTTTTTATATATAAAAAAAAATCTTATTTCTTGAACCGATTAAACCTTGTTCAATATCCCAAACCCCTAAATTCCATTATTTCTAAAATCTATCTTGCGCTTATCAGTCCTAACCAAGACTGATGCTCGGAAGTCCTTAGTGAGGCAGAAATGAATGACTATATAAAAATATTGCCTATATGCTTTTTTTAGTTAAATGTTATGTTATTTTTTAATAAGAATTTCGCCTCCTTGAAATTGGAAGCTGGTTCCGCCCCTGTTTGCTGGAGCTTCTATCTTTCTTTCCTTTGTTAAAACCAAGCTATTGCTAAACCATAAAGAAACTGGCTCCCTACAAAGTAAAGGAGTATCGTGAAAAACAACAGCATCATTATAAATAATTTGGGGATGACAATAAGTCAATTAATGCGTGCATTTGTTCACTTTTTTTTATTTGTAATTATTTAAATTAATATTTATAATTTATTTTTAAAAAAAACTTTATCAATGACCTAATTATGATTAATTTGATCTTTCAAAACTTTATTAGTATTCTCCCTAAATTTTATATGACACGTAAAAATTAGTTTTTTTGTTTCCATCATTAATCTTTATTTAATGCCGCTAGTATAAATCATACTTAGAAGTTTAGATTTTCTATATAAAATAGCTTTGAAATCAGGTGTTACTTATATCTAAAAATGTATATCAGAACTTATATTAGAGGGGAAAAAAGGCTGGAAATTAGGACTTATAACAAAACACAAAGAAAGTATATAACATAAAGATAAAAATCCTACTACGCCAAGCACAAGTTCATAATATGTATAATTTTTTAATTCAATAAAATTAATTTAATTGAAAATAAATAAATAACAAAAACGTAAAAAATGTATACAGCATTACATCATACTTTTTTTGCCAGAGCATTACATTATAGCCATTTAATTATTTTTATAAAATTACGAAAACTAATTTTAATCCCATGTTCATTTTCTTGAGGTCTTGAACTTTCTTTCCCAAACAAGCCGCAACGCAACTCTCAAACATTCCGATCCAATGCATCAAATCAAGCAAAGAGAGGCATAAATCAAAGAGAACAAAAAGAAAAATAAATTACAAAAATAATTATAAAGTTCAAGATGTTACAAGCTACATTGATTTCCTATTTTTCAGAGTAAAACACTAAATTTAATCTCCAAACTGCAGCTAACCTTACTACGACGCTAACTGCTACCTCCTGTGTGTGATTGATTGCTCGATCTGGCGCTCTAATCGGACCTGCTGGCTTGAGATTCCAACTGCAGCTCGTGGTGGCCGGCGACGTAATCGAGGAAGACCTCCCCGGCGATGTTGTTGTTGCTGTTTCCGCCTGCGGCGGCCGCTGAGGAGGTCCTGCCGAAGACGAGGACGAGAGCGAGGAAGAGAGCGGTGGAGAGGAAGAGCGGCCAGAAGTAAGCCAAGACGGTGAGGAATCTGGGAGCGAGGACGGCGAAGGAGGAGACAGTGAGGGCTAAGAGCAGACCTGCGATGAAGTGGTATTTGAATTTGAAGAGAATCTGAGGGATCTCCATGATAAGGATGATGAGTTGATGACGACGACGATGGCGATTGAGTTCGGGAGACAGAGAATGTGTTGGTGGCGATGAAAGGCAGAAAAAGAGGCCGTTGTGCGTGCAGAGATTCGCTGCTACCACTACAAATTTTCACTCTCCATGAAATTACTGACTTGCCCTTGCTGTGGGTTCACGTGTGTTGGCTGGTCCTCTCACTCACCCAACCTTTGGTAAAAACCCTAATTTTCAAGTTCTTAATCATGTTGATTAAAGAAGACCAGTTTTCAAATGTTTAGATATAGTTTTGTTATGAGTATTTTTGTGGAGGAACTTTTATTAATTTTCTACTAAAAGAAAAGAGCAACTTGTCTTATAGTTTCAAAATCTGAAATCCAAAACTTATTTTTATATAATATTTTTCTTCAACTTTTAAAAACAATATAATTTAGCCTTATTATTAACAAAACTTAATTTTGACTATTAATTAATTATAAAATAAATTAAAAATTACAAGAAATGACCAATAAAATTTTCTTTGACATTTTTTATAATTTTTGAGTCTCAATCATAATTTTTGATCTTTTTCTATACTTAATTAGTTGTTTTTGTCATTTTCTGTTCAATTAATGATCAAATTAATTTTTGATAACAATAGTAGTCAGATTGCATCATTTTTAAATATTGAAACAAAATATTATATAAAAATAAGTTTAAAAATTCAAACGATCATAGATTTATAATTTAATGGCTAATTTGTATTTTATCTTTCTACTAATTTTTTTAAAATATTTTTATAGCACACGGAGTAGATGTCACCAAAAAAAGAGATTATCTTCATTGAAATACTAAGAGTAAATAGTAGATTTCTATTTATTAAGTTGTTAAGTATGGATTAAGATTTAAATGTCTAGCCACTTGTTCAAATGACTAGAGCCCTTACTGCTGACATAAATTTAATTGGTACTTTTTGCTTTATTTATTAGTTAAAGCAGCACAATCTATGGGATGTATGGGCATACTGGACACGTAGGATCCACTTATTTTATGTATCTGTATCTCTCGTAACGTCATATTGCTACCTTCTAAAATTAAAAACCAACTTATTTATATATAAATTTTCAATGATATTTTAACAAGGACGTGCATAGAAAAAGGAACACAAAATTCCATGTGTTCAACTCTGACGTGAAGTTTATTAAGTCGCAAAAAAAAAAAATTGCCTGAAGAAAATTTGTAGACTTTAATGATGTTGATGTGATATTGGTGGGCTTTTAACTACTCAATGCTCAAGATCAATTATAACAATTAACAATAGTCAAAGCACAAATAGTAGAAAGGAAGAAGAAAACGGAAAGCATCTTGCTTTTAAATTTCAATTTGTCTTATTCTCTCCCTGTTAAGCTTCTTTCACTTGTAAGAATGCAAAGCCTATTTTGATAGGAACGTTAGGCTTTCAACGGAATGGAGACAAATATAAAAAATGTTTAATATCCATATAAATGATAAAAAAAAGAGAGAAATATTAAAAAGTTCACCTTCTTCCCTCTGTAATGTTTTATTTGAGGACAAATGTAGCGTTGCAACTTCTCGTGTTTGCTCTGACTTTTTGGGCCTAGTGCCCCTTGTTATGTTTAATCCCTTTTACACCAAAAGGAAAAAAAGAAGAAGAAATATATTAGAAATAATGTAAAGCAGAAAGACTAAACCATGCATACCCCATAAAGTACTCTCCCTTGCCTTTACCAACTTTGCACTTATTTAAAAAAATAATAAATTATTTTAAATTTTAAATTTGATAATATTATAAATTCTAAACTCATTTATTATATATATTATTCTTTAAATTTTTAAAAAGATGTAATTTAATTTTTATCATTAATAAAAGTTAATTTTAATTGTTAGTTGATTAGAAAATGATATAAAAGAATTTAAAAAAAATCAAATTTTTATCCTTTTTTGGTAATTTTTAAGATTATTTTTTGCAAATTTTGAATTCTTTATTGTAATTTTTTATTCTTTTTTGAGATTTTTTAGATCATATCTTTTGATCAATTAACGATCAAAGTTATCTTTTATTGGTTAAATTGAGTCTTCAAAAATTAAGGAAATAATTTATATAATAAATGACTTCAGAATCTATGGTTATTAAACCTAAAATTTAAGGGATAATTCATTCTATTAAAAAATATAGTTATATCATTAAAATTGTTAAAAAATTACGAACGTTCCATTTTTTTCCCTTTCTTCATAATCATTAACCTTATAATAAGTTGTTGTCTAGATTTTCAAAGGATAATAGATAAACAAAGAGTAAAATAAAAAATTACTCTAACTTTACATTATATTATAATTAAAAAATTTAAAAATTTGCCTTGCACTAAAGATTAGAGGAAGTAAAAGAACTTGGCATCAACAATTTTTAATCTTTCATGGGTCTTAGCGATAGAGAGTAATTTTCTCTCATTTCAAGTACAAAAATCAATTTCCAAGAGCTTATAGCGGCACCCTTTGATGCAAGGGGTTCTGGGATCAAATTTTCAAATAATTAAGGGATAAATTTGTACTGGGTGCGCGTGAGTGTACTACGTGCTATGTATTGTGTCGGTGTGTGATGCATGTATGTGGAACCCTTTTCCTTGTAGGATAGGAGAGAGAGGTAGGAATATTGTTTAACCCGACCCATTGAAATGATAGAAATGTAAGTTGAATTGAATTTAATTTATTTTTATATAAGTTAAAAAAATCTCAACTTAACTCAACTTTTAAGAATTGGTGAGTTATTTATTTTTTAATTTATTTTATGAATTTTTTTAAAAACACCTAAATAATAAGTTTTAATTTGATATTCCTTCATAATTTATTCTAAATATATCAAAATATTAATTTATAATATTTATATAAAATATATAAATTAATTCAGTTAAGTAAGTCATGCCTAATTTAGTTTATATTTACAAAAATTTCTTCTTTTTTCTTTTTTTAATTTGTTAAAAAAAATATGGGTTAAATGGCCAGTCCTAACTCATTAAGGTTAACTCATATAGTTCACAGGTTATATAATTTGAGAAAAAAAACTCATTTTTATTTGAATTAATTTTTTTTTTCCTATCCAACTCAATCTTTATAATCAGTTATTTGGGCTAATCCATATAACCTGACTTATGTTCCCAACTTAGGTGATTTAGATTAAAAAGTACGGAAAATAATTATATATTAAAAAAAATATCAAAATCTCACAAAACACGTACTAGTGGTTGAATTGATAAAGATAAGTGTGGTGTGAATAGAGAGGACTGGAGGTGTAGGTTCAGACTCCTTTTGTAATAACAAACAAGTATCAAAATCCCACAAAACTAAACTATGGAATTTCTCACTTTTCCATGGCGTGCACATTAACTTTGCCATGTAGCAAATGGGGCATAGGATTATCTTATATCACAAAATGCTAATAAATGCACCAAATATTTATAAGCAAGATGCATGCAAATTAACTTCCAATATCAACTCAATGTAATACTATAGTTTTTAAACTGGTTAAAACTTAGCATTTGAATATTTATAAACCAATTTAATGATAAATTTGTTTAAAAGGAGAGAGATCCGATTCCAAAATAATAAACTACTTAGAATTTAAGTCCTTGCAATTTCTGAATTATTATATGATGATTTTGAAACTTTTCATTATTCTTAAATGTTTGTGCCATAAAGCAGCTGAGTCAATAGTTCTCAGTCAGATCAATTTTTATTGATAGAAATCTAGCATGTTTACATACACATAATTATGGCAACAAGACTGCCCACTAACTCAGATTATAAAATTTAGGTTAAATCTAATTAAATCCTTTAAAGAATATAAAATAAAAGAAAACTGATCCAATAACTATATATTGGATAAAATACTAAAAAATAAGATAACAAATACATAATAAATTAAAACTAAGGAACAACACGTTTCTGCTTTTAGTTAATACCCACAAATCAACAATACGATATCTCAAATTTGAATTCATATAAATATAAAAGTTTTTTTTATTTAAAAAAAGTTACCCCTTTTTGAGATCTAACCAAGTTTTTACTTAGTTAAAGTTTAATGTGTTTTAGATAACGGATGGTTTGTAAATAGGAAAAAAAATAAAGTTGCCCCCTATTTGGAACCCAATCTAGTTTGAATTAGTTGAACTCTAGAAGTGCTAAAGGAGAGACCCGGCTTGAATCTAAATTAGTCAGAGTTTAATATAACTTCAAATCCTCAATGATCTGTCCAAAAATAAAAGTGACAAAGGAGGCCAAGGGAAATTAACAATAATTGCTATAGGAAAATTTAATGGGTGCAAGAATAAGAAATCTATTGGCTTGGATGGTTTTTAATTTTGTTGGGTCAGAGCATGTTTTGTTGAATATAACGAAGTAAAGTAATACACCAAGCAGGAACTGAAAAAGCAAGGTTTTTGGAAGCTAGTGGGTAAAGATAAGGCTCAATTTCAAGTCATGAAACAGGAATCATGACTTGGTATGGCCAACCCAATCCAAGTACTTTATTTGGTCTAATTTACAGGTAGAAAGAGAAAATTTTTCTCATCCTATTTATATAATATTTTATTAAATTTTTATTATAAAATTTTTTATTTAACTTTCATTAAATGCTTAATTTCAAATTATGAAACAGGAATCATGACTTGGAAAGGGCAACCTAATCACAGTCCAAGTACTTCATTTGGTCTAATTTATAGGTTGGAAGAGGAGAATTTTCTCTTCCTATTTATAAAATACTTTATTAAATTTTTATTATAAATTTTTTTATTTAACTTTCATAAAAATATATTATTAAAATATATATTTAATAAAGATAAAGATAAAAAATTATTAAATTTTTAAATAGAATTAATAAATTTTAAAATTTTATTATTTTAATAAAATATGTTAAAAATATCTTAGTAGCAAAAGTAGAGAATTATGATTTTGCGGTGACAATTGAGTGAGCGTTACGAAAGTTTCAAATGGATAGGACCCATGTCTCCGAGGAATCCATCACCAATAATTGTAAATTCTCTTTTCTTTATTTTTTTTAAAACTTTTTCACTACTTTTTTTTCTTCCGGAGCCAAGGTGATTCATTTTTTAATTTTTTGGATTTAAGGTTCAATTAAACAATAAAAAGACAAGTCATAACTTGATAGGTCTGCAATTATTAAAATAGGGATTAAAAAACAAAAGCTGAAAAAGGCCAGCTGGCAAAGACATAGAAACAAGTAAATGGAGAAAGAAAGTCCACTCTGTCTTCCACTACGAAACTTACGTGAAGGACTTTTAGCATATGTTTGGTTGGGAGAGAAGAGGAAGAAAAATCTTTCCCTTCCCTCCAAAACCTCCTTCAGATTGGGAAGGAGCTTCCTTTCCTTCCCTTCACCTCCCCTTCCTTCCTTCTCAATCAAACATACCCTTACGTCATAATTCAAAGTGACGGCTTACATGAAGGACCATGTAATCTAGCAAACAATTATATTGAAAAAGATAATACATGTAACATATATATTAAGTATCATTTTTATTTTTATAAGTAAAGGATTAATAAATAAACAAAAAATTGTAAAATACTAATAAATCGTGTATTCTATTTATATTTCAATACATTAATAGTAAAATATTATATATAAATACCGGAGGGAAATATGTATACTTTAATCATAAAAACATTTGGGTTTGGGTTAAGGACCCTGCTTGCAATGGAAAAAAAGAAAAACTCTTAAATTATGCATATATACATAGATATATATTATAGAGGGAGGAGGGTTTTTTTTTCTTTTTTTTTTGGGTGGGGAGTAGGGTTGACTGTTGAGTATAACCTTGGTTTGCCTCTTTTTCACATACATTATAATTCAAAAATCATGAGATATCATGTATAATGATCACTTCTCTTATAATCTTGTGTTAACTTTGATTGAATCCATGAGCTTATAATATAAATAAGATTAGTCTATGTGATTGGATTAGTTGAAGCAAGTATGCGAATATGATTCGTGAGGTAGTTAAGTGATATTTTACATGTATTACCAACACTATTAAGCTTTAATGCACTTTACAATTAAAAAATCATAAGATATCATGCATATTCATCATACCTCTCTTATAACATTATGTTACCTTTAATAGAATTCATGAGCTCACAATATAAACATGAGTAGTCCATGTAATCAAAATAGTCAAAGCTCCCCAATTATAAAGAATAGCCTCTCACCCTGCTCATTTTTGAATCAAGGATCCCTCTTAAGGAGCGTCATATACCCAACCTATACCAGTTTTTCAAAAAGAAGACAGTAATACAAGGCAATGCTCAAACCATACCAATTCTGATAAGCAAATGGTAATACAAGTAAATAAACCAAACACCTAGAGCACTCATGATATTGGTAATACTATGTTAAGGTGAACTCCCAACCCCATTCTCATGTGATCTTACCAAATCATGTCAAACAATATTCATAGTCAAGAAATATTTGATACAGATTTCAACAATTGTGACATACTTCAATTCCTTAGCAAATCAAATTTTAATACATAATTCCCACTCAACTAACAAAGTTATTAAAAATCATGATAACACAATTCAAATATTTATGCTTTCATATCAAAATATACAATCCATTATCACAATAAAAAAACTCATAAATACATAATTAAGCATATAAGGTAAATTATATATGGTTACCTCTCGCCTAAGCTTATATAACAATTAAACTTGTGATTCCTCTTGCCCAAACAATCTTAATCAAGATCAATAATTTACATGTATCACATCAATTCCCATAAATACTTCCCTAACATGACGAAATTATATCAATCCTAAAGGCCTAAATCCTTCAAAATTAATTTTATGTCCATTTTCATACCACCCCATATTATTTCTATCATAATCTAACTTATCTAAACCATTTATATCATTGCAACCATCCCTAACTTTAAATTCATCAAAAACTCCTAAACCCAACGTAGGGTTTAGTCATAAATCATAATCATTGTTGAAAATTTTCAAGAAATCACTAACCCAATGGTTAAGAACCTCAAATTAAACTTAGTTTAATGGGTCAACAATCCATAGTCCTCAAAACTCCTGCAAATCCATTTGGAAATCTAGCTAAAAATGAAAATTGGAGAGATGGAGAGGAGTAGAAATGATTACTAAGTGATTTGGAGCCTCTAAAATGTTCCCAAGATATCAAAATGGGAAAACTCTAGTAGAGCACTCCATTTTTGCCGTTTCCCTAACTTTCTCTCTTTTGTATAGTTTCATAAACACATCATGTGCTGTGATAGATAGTACAAATTCACGAGCCTAACTTAAAAAATGTATAATTAATTTCACACATTTTTAAAAATTATAAATTGGACTCTATGGAAATCTTGAAATGTCTATTTCCAATACAAAAAGAATTATTAAAAAATATTATCATTTGCCCTTCAAAAATCTCTTATTACAAAAACAGCTCTTTTTTGTTTACTTCCAAGCTTTAATCAATCCTAAAATTATTTAGAAAAATGACAATTAGGGATCCCTTAGGCCATTAATTATAATTAGATACTTTAAATTATTGAAAAATTTCAATAATGGACCATGACCCTTACTTGAAATTTAAAAAAAAAATGTGAATAGTATAAAATGTCTCTTAGATGTGACTTTAGTAAATTTTTTAAATGACTATTGTATCTTTACAAGTGCCATTGAAAAGTTTCAAAATTAAATTTTAATTTCATATTGAGAAAAAACCTATTTTCAAATATTATTTTTTAATTTTTCAATTGAGATTAACAATATTTTCATCTCATAATAATATTTTTAGCAATGTCATTTATTTATTTTTTAAGTAATTTGCCTATACATTAACAAGTACTCTCTCTATTCAAAAATATAAGGTATTTTTTGAGAAATTAAATATTTAAAAATATAAAGCATTTTTAGTCTTTTGAAGTGTAGTCATTGTCTTTTTTTTTTTTAAATTTCCCTATTGATAATGACTTTATACTTATTGTAAAGTATTTAATATGAGTAAATATGAAAAGATAGAGTTAATTTAAAAGTAGGTAACTACTTTATTAAAGGGTGAGATTCGATTAAAAATGCCTTATATTTTTAAACGGAGGAAGTATATAACAATTCATAAGTGACTTGGTTCATATTCAAAAGTGACTTTAGTAAATTTCTAAGTGACTATTGTATATTTATAAATACTTTTAAAAAAGTGAATTTTAGTTTCATAATGGGAAACAATTCATTCCTGACCATTATTCCTTAATTTTTCAATTGAGATTAACAATATTTATATCCCATGATAGTAATTTTAAAAGTGCCATTTCTTTATTTTTAAGTGGAGAGTAATTTTGTAAACTTATGTATGTTTTTAATTTTAAATAAAGACTATGGCTTAATATTGAAATTTTAATAATTTAGGGTTTCTAATCGTAATTAACAACCTTAAGAGGTCCCTAATTTTGATTTTTCCAAATTATTTCTTGTTTTATTTAAATACCCCTAAATTCTTTTAAAATATTATTTAACTTTAATTAACTCTAAAGGTAATAATTTGAAATATTACAAGGACCTTTTGCTCTTCTTACAAAAACAAAAACAAATGATAAGTCAAAATATTGTGTTATATTCCTTCTTAATTTTTTTAGAACATCCATAATTGCCTTCTTGCAGGATGAAAATATACTTTAAACCTAAGTTATTATTTTTTGGCTTGTTTAAGTCTAAATTATTATTATTATTTTTAATATGACTATCTAACTAATTTATATTCTAACATTATCTGGTTTAATAGAGGTAATTCTCTTAAAAGAGTTTTATTACATTTACTCGAACTCAAACTTAAAATTTTGTGATTAAATGGTAACGTCTTTTTAACTAGGATGAATGTTTTTGGTGTGTAACCCAAATTATGTTTTTTATCTATTGTTTGGGCCTGATTTTTTTTTTAATCTATGGTACTTTAATTTTTTCAAAGTTAAGTCATATTGAGTGCTTTCTTTTTTAAGTCAATGGCGTAAGGAATTAAGGTCATGTTTGGTACGCAGGTTTCAGTTTTGAGGGATTAGTATTGGGATTGGGATTGGGATTGGGATTGAGATTGGGATTGGGAATAAAGTTTTAAAATTATGTTTGGTATGTAGGAATATTTTGAAAGAATACCTTATTTTATTTTATTTTTTACTTAAATATAAATTATAAAAAGACAAAGATACCCTTTAAAATAATAAAAACAGAAAATAAAAACCAAACGTGATCATCCCTTTGTCTTGTCATTTCTTCTTCTCACCGATGAACTTCTGCGACGGTGAACTCAAGGAGATCTCTGGCTTCCATTTTCGATCATCGAGCTCCATATTGTGAAGGGTTTCGTTCACGCCGTTCTAATTTCTCTCAGCTCCATCAACTCGTAAGCGCCTCTAAGCCGAAAATCAAGAGCCAAGGAGAGTGTGTCAGGTATGCTTTGAAGCCTTCGAACTCTGCCTTTGATTTACTTCGGACTCTACCGTTGAGCGAGGAGATGAGCGAGGGGCCCAGGTTAGTGGGGCCCACCTTGGAATCTGAGGCCATGTTTGGCCTGAAGTGTCGGTGAAGCTTAGGTTCTTTCGTTCTTGTTCAGTCGGGAAGTTACATTTCTATGATTCGGAATTCTATATCCTGTTTATTCCCTCAATAATTCTTGGTGATTTGACAAAGTCAGCTTGTTTCGCGTTCGAATGAATGCCAATTATTGCAAATTCAGCGCCTCGAAGTTTAAGATTTACTCCTTAACTTTGTTGCCTATACTTCTGGGCTTGGAATTTTCATTTATATAACTATTGGATGTTAAAGTCCGGTTTTCAGATCAACTAGAGATTTCTTCGGTATTGAATTGTTCCATATGTTGGCAAAAAAAAAATTATTCATTTATTTAATTTGACTTTGTTGCAATTGATGACTTCAATTTGCAGAATCTGGATCTCCCGAGGATTGATCGGATTATCTGATGCTCTCTTTGATCTCAAGGTCTATCCATATTTCTCGTCACATACGCATATAAACTTACTCTGCGCATGCCAGTACTGAAAAGAAAGTAGTTTTGACGGGCGTTCTTTGTGTGAAATTACTTCAGGACTGCCAATAGCTGCCATTGAGCCGGTGCCAGAGAGTTCTGTGTCGGACATGGAGGAGCGAACCATAAAAGAAAGAGAGAGATGGTGGAAGATGGGTTTGAAGGCTATATCAGATGGGAAGTTGGCTGTGTTGCTTTTATCGGGTGGCCAGGTACTTCTGCGATTGCTTAGAATCGTTATTATTATTATTATTATTTTCATGTTCTAATTGCTGAAGAGATCCTCGATGCCTTTTGGCATAATCCTTCTTTTGATTTTTTGTTTGTTTGTTGGTTTAATTGAGTGCTCTGTTATCTTGTAGATTTGTCTTCCCCTTCAGAAGTTGGTGCTGTGATTAGTGAACTTTACTTCTTTGAAAGGGGCATTACTTAGGTGATAAAGATAGTAATTCACAATGCGATTTCCCCTTTTTTTTGGGTACTTCCTGAAACATTATTTTGGCATGATGTTGCCTCTTTTTGTCACTGATTTGATTGAGGGCAAAAAGAAGAGCTCAAGTGAGCATGAAGATGAAAATGTCAACAAGTGCAACTCCAAGAGGTGCCATTTTAGCCATTCCTTTTCAAGCTCCATGAAGAACATACAATTTTACTCCATTTTAGCCATTTGACACCCTGATTTCTGCAAATAAACATACAAGATGGAAATAAGGAAATAAGGAGCGAACCTTCAATTGCTTGGAAAAGAGAAGCGAACTGTGGTTGGAACTGCAGGAAATAAGGAGTGAACCTTCAATTGCTTGACGAGGCATTCTGTTATAGGAAATGAAGCCTTCAACAGGTTCATCAACTATCCGTGTCATAGTCATCATAGCAAGAGGGAATGTTGGGAAATTCAACAAGAGGGGCACTTGGGGACGAACAGAAACATCCAAAAAAATCCATCAAGAAGCAAGCTTTTGTTCTGTTGCTAAATTAAATGAGGTGTATGTATATATATAATATAGCATTTAGATTTATTTATGAAGTCTATAGCTATATGGCTCCAATCTAGTGGTTATATCTCTGATTCTGTGGAATTTGCAAGTGTTATATTACAAGTTTTTGTAAATTTTGCAAGTGGTTATAACAGCCATGGATCTTTAAATGTAAGTCTGTACTTGAAGCTATAGTTTCTCTATTTTTCAAGTTTTATGCTGCACCAGTCTCATTGATGCTTTCATGCCTTCAAACATGTCTCTGCTAAGATGCCATCAGTCTCATAGATATATTATTACATATATTAAATGTACTCCATATATTAAATGTACTCCATATGTTTCTTAGCTCCATATTAAAAATACTTAATCATATCAAATTCTGCAATATTTTGATCAGAACTTCCCCCCTAATTGACAGAATTCCTGATCAAATTCTTCCATTTGATGGCATTTTCATATGGGCAAGGAACCAAGTTGCAACTTCATGATCAAATTAAGCTAGTGTATATATACTTGTATATATACTACTATTATATAAACTTCCAATAGATACTCTATAAAACATGAAAGAAAGGATGTCATTTATCATATCATAATTAATAAGGTCAAGGAAGCAAGATACTCCATATCTTACTTTGAAACAAAATATAGTCAATGGTGCTACTCATATATCCAAGCACCCAAGTAAGATATGCCATATCTTACACAAAAAATTAGACATCTAAACATGACATTACATATGAAGGATCCTCTTGCAACTTTACTAAGGATCACCAAAAAATTGAGATACACCAAAATATCAAGTGACACTAATACTAGCTTATGCTATTATTTCGCGAATCACATCAGCTTTATCCTCTTCAGGCATGGAATAAAAGCCAATTAGCATATTCTCATCACCAATAATCTTCACATATGCCTTGAGACGTTCTTGGTGGGAAAGTCCTTCAACTTTCTTCAACTCAACAAGGAGAGACGACCTCATGCCATCAATACGTTTCTCACGTTCAACTCTATCAAGGTGCATGCCAAAACGCTCAGATGACTCCTTTAACCCATCAGCTAGTGTTTGAACAATCATTTTCATGCCTTCAAGCATGGAAGGTTGAGCTTCAGTGCTGTTTCGCTTCCTCTTTTTCGCACCGGAAGTTGCATCAGAAGGGGACAGCTCAGTTGGAGAGTTCTCTTGTGGTGAAGTATTGGCATGTGATCCATCCATTTGAGAATCAGTTGGAATGTACTCAGTAGGAGTATCTTCTATGGGTGAAGTAAACCCATGTTGATCATGAAACTCTTCAATGATATCTTCATAGGTTTGAGCATCCTTTCCATTTGCCCTATCCTTCCCAAAGATATTAGATAGCTCATCATAATGGGGGAAAGTCTTGTTTCTCCACTTAGCAGCTTTCTTGTTTACCTGTGACAGAAAAAAACAAATAAACAGCAGAAACCACAGCCAAAATATCAGAAAAAACAAATAAACAGCAGAAAGAAACAGCAGAAACTAACAGCAAAAAAACAAAAAATAAATAAACAGCAGAAACTAACAGCAGAAAAAACCAGAAAAAACAAATAAACAGAAGAAACTAACAGCAGAAACTACAGCCAAAAAACCAGAAGAAATAAACAGCAGAAAAAAACAGAAAAAATAAATAAACAGCAGAAACTAACAGCGGAAAAAACCAGAAAAAACAAATAAACAGAAGAAACTAACAGCAGAAACTACAGCCAAAAAACCAGAAGAAATAAATAAACAGCAGAAACTACAGCCAAAAAACCAGAAAAAACAAATAAACAGCAGAAACTAACAGCAAAAACTACAGCCAAAAAATCAGAAAAAACAAATAAACAGCAGAAACTAACAGCAGAAACTACAGCCAAAAAACCAGAAAAAAAAATAAACAGCAGAAACTACAACCAAAAAACCAGAAAAAACAAATAAACAGCAGAAATTGAAACAGCAAAAACTAACAGCAAAAAAAACCAGAAAAAACAAATAAACAGCAGAAAGAAACAGCAGAAACTAACAGCAAAAAAAACCAGAAAAAACAAATAAACAGCAGAAAGAAACAGCAGAAACTAACAGCAAAAAAAACCAGAAAACAAATAAATAGCAGAAAGAAACAGTAAAAATAGCAGAAACTAACAGCAGCAATTTACCTTCACATATTCATCCCAAACAGTCTTGGGAGCTGTCACACATTTCTTTTCAAGGTCCCAACCAAAACCAGATAAATTGAGAAGGTCAGAAACCACACCATAGTTAATTTTTAACTTCTTGACTCTTGACTGAATATGAGGATGGGCCTTAATACCACTTCCAGGTATCAAACCATTAAGCATGTCCTTCAAAGTGTTTAAGACACGTGGCCTTAAACCATTGTCAGATACAAGTTCTCCCTTATCATGTAGCACCATCATGGATTGAATTAATAATTCATCCTCTTCGGGTGTCCACATGTGCTTGTCTGATTTTCCAGACCTACTTGACATGTTTGTTCAGCTAGAAGAAGAAAATGTTAGAACTTGAGAAGAGGTTAAACAACAATAAGACAATATGACAATATATTATTATTAAGGACATAACAATAATACATGTTCTATCATACCATACACCACACTCAAAGAAACAAAGAAAATTGACATATTCAAACAAACAATAATGTTTAAATGAAATAACTAATTCATCTAGATATACTATTAGAAGAAAAAGTAGTGAACATTTCATTAGCAAGAGTATCCCTAAAGGTAGCCCATTCATCAGAAGCATCCATGTTTTGAATTGGGGTGTTTTCCATCCCGTCCATATCAACACCCATTTCTGGAACTTCATTTTCAAGTGGATCTACACCTTCTTGACGAATTAAGTTGTGTAGGAGGCAACAAGCAATTATAACTCGGTTATGTGTTCGAACGGGATAAAATGATGGGCTTCTTAGTATAGCCCACCTTAACTTCAAAATACCAAAACACCGCTCAATTACATTTCGTGCAGAAGAGTGTCTCATATTAAAGCACTCTTGTGCACTTCTAGGATGTCGCCCTTCTCTCCATTCACTTAAGTGGTATCTTTGCCCTCTATACGGTGCAAGAAATCCCTTACAGTTGGTGTAACCAGCATCAACCAAGTAATAGTGACCTTGTAGAACTCTCAAGCCATTCCTTCTACTTATGGCATCACGAAGAACCCGTCCATCTGCGGCGGACCCTTCCCACCCAGGCAAAACATATATAAAGAAACCATCTTGTGAGCAAACACCCAACACATTTGTAGTTATCTCTCCTTTCCTATTCCAGTATCTTGCCTTGTCGAGAGAAGGAACTCTTAACTTGATGTGAGTTCCATCTAAGGCGCCTAAACAATTCTATAAAATAGAAAAGTAAAAAAAAGTTAATACAAATTGTTCACACAACTTTCAAAAATAATAATAAATACATAACATGTATATTTACCTTAAACCACTTCCACCTTTCATCGCTAGAGTCATCAGCCACTGGCTCTGGTTTCTTCAACAACATATCTCCAAGTCTCATCATACTAGTAAGTACTGAATTGAAATGCCTACTAATAGTTTCTCCCGATCTACCAAAGTTATGTTGTATTACTCTATTCTTCACATGATGTGCTAGTATGTGTAAAAACATGGCAACTTGTTCATCTACAAGCATGTTCTTACTAGGTTTAAGACCACCCACATCCGTTAGCATAGAACACAACTTATCAAATGTTGATCTATGCATTCTAAGTAAGTTGTAACAGGCTACATCACTGCTAGACATCATTCTCTTTAGGTAAGATCTCTTAGCAATAAAATCCATTTTGTAAGGTATATGTCTGATTCTTCGTCTCTTTAGTATGATAGTCATACACATACAAATGCAAAACGCATACACTGCCTCAGTCATGCTCATCCAGAAGAGAAACAAACGTAATAGTATTCTCTTTTCCTCAGATAGTGCCATAACTGTGTACCAATTATACAGATATATAAAAGATTAATATTTAACATATGTAATGGAATAAAAGTAATTAGTGGTTAATAATAAATCACAGTGATAACACTCTTCAAAAAAATAATAGATGAATTGCTGTGCAATATAAAAGTATAAAATAGTATTAGTATAGCAAATGATCAAGGACCTGTTTGATTTATTTCATTCTGCAATTAGTTTTTCTTCCCAATTGTTTTGTAATAATTTAGCTTAGAGACATTTTCTTATACCTTTATGGGTGCTCTTGTTTTGGGTGCTCTTTTTTTAGTACTAGCCGACTACACTGAAGCAGAAACACCGCCCCCAAAACTACTCAACAGACAAAATAAAACGACAGAAGCTACTACTTTCCCCGCATCATGGTTTATTTGGTAAAACCCGAAAGCAGTTTTAATGATCTTTTAGTAACCGTATATACATTAAGTAATAATTACATTTCAGCATACTAAGGAAATGGAATCTATAAAAGACGAGGTTCATGCTGCCAAAAAATATATATAATCCATTCCATACTTCCTACACCAAAGCCTGAAACCTCCTTTCCAACCTTCAAAAAAAAAGATTATAATTTAACAGTCTTGAACATATTTCTTTTTACACACGATTATTTTAAGCAGAATGAGCACTTTTGTAGTAGTTATGCGAAGGGGTCAATGAAATTAATCAGGAGTAACCCTTTCAGATGTCTATACACATTCTTTGAGTAATAACTCAATGGCTCAATTACAAACCCCCTTCCACTCGGGGGCAAAAGGGCAAATAATGGATACAGAAAATCACTCTGCCATCATCCTCAAATTTTTAATAAACTGAGCGACTAATATTATTGAGGAAGCAGACCAGATTCTCGTGGACTAGATTTCTACAATCAAGAAATATCTACTCCGGTCTAGAAAAGACAAGGTCCAATTATCAAATTAAGCAAAAAATCGCATCTGTTGCAAGTATTGTCATCAAAAGCAATTGCCAATTATAATCTTATGCATAAGCTCAGTCCAATGTAAATGCGTTTCAATGGAATTTACAACTACAGCATCCAATCATGACGCGTAGACTAAAGAAAATGAGATTGAAGTTGCCTGAACCCACAGTAAGTATGTACGCAATATCTGCCTCTCATTTACATTTTGTATTATTTCTTATACAATCGATTCTGTTTTCTTGACAGATGTAATAGGATTCTTGAAAGGGTTTGGCTCTTACAATTTCAAAAAATTTTAAAGCTTATGTAGATAAAAACCTGCAAACAGTCATTTGTGAAGGAGAGATCACCGGAAAAGGAAAAGCCAAATACAAAGAAGATGGAAGAAGAAGATCAACGAAGGGGGAGGACGGAGCAACAGTACCTGAAGGCAAGATGAAGGAGATGGCGACAGGGCAGATCGATGGATGAGTCTCTTGCGGCGTCGATGGAGATGCGTTCGACTTGAGGTTTGCAATGCTGATGACTTTTATCAGGCAAAAACTCAACAGGGGCACTCTTGTCCAAAAAATATTATAACCATGGATAATATTGTCATAAAATATTGCAAACCCAGGTTTAATTTTTCAGTACCAGGTAGGAGGTGGGTTTGTGTAATCCCATCTAAGTGGGTTTCAGCAAACCCAAATAAGAGCCAATGCTTTATACCAAACACATTAAATTGGGCCTTATTCAATGCCAATGCCAAACCCAACCCTTCAATGCTACATACCAAACATGGCCTAAGTGGGCACTTGGCCAGTTAAGCCCGTATGAGGCAAAGTGCAAACAAGCCCATCTCAACTCGCCGCCTTGCTAAGTCGTTAATCTCTGTGGTCTCTGCCGTCATCAAGCTTCTGTAAGGGGTAACAGTAACAGGTTCGAGCATCAACAATGGCGCCTGTGAGAACTACAGGCGCTGTTGTGGGCGTGGCTGCCTTATTCGTCTCAGTCGCACTCTCCTATCTCATCTGCGACCGACGCTCTAAATCTTCCTCTAAGAACACCCGCTTGACTTTGTCAAAGGAGAAATCGAGGAAGGGGCTGATTGATGCTATTGGTAATACGCCTTTAATTCGAATCAATAGCCTCTCTGAAGCCACTGGTTGTGAAGTGAGTCCTTTTGACCTTGTGATTCATTATTCACTGTTAGTTAGTATTTATATAGAATTTCTTCTGGACCGTTGAATTTATTTATGGTCTTTTCTGTTGATTTGATTTTGAAATTGGAGTTACGAGTTGCTCGTCTTGTTTCGTTGCTGTTTTTGAGTTCTTAAGATTCTTGGGAAGTGCGAGTTTTTGAACCCTGGAGGGAGCGTGAAAGATCGAGTTGCAGTGAAAATCATTGAAGAGGTAAACTGCCTGAGTCGTAAATGTTATCTTCTAGAGGGAACTGATAGATTTTTCTTTCAAGCACGGGGTAACTTTGGATTTTGTTCATTAATAACTTGTTGGATGAAAACATGATATAAATATACACTAGAGCTCATAATTCGCGGATTTTTTCCCCTTTCCTACTTTATCATTTTTGAAAGTGTTCTGTTTTCTTTAATGATTCTTTTGGTATCCCCAGACATTGATGATCAGAAACTGCTAAATATATGCTAATTCTATGTTGGAGAAAAAGGCACTGGCAGTATGTCAATAATGATTATTCATTCCCCAGGGAATTATTAAAGCTTCGAATCGTTTCTTCTATTCAACTAGTAACAAAATTCCTCTGTTCCTCTTTGTAAAACCCTACACCCTTTCTTTTTTTCTTGTTTTTTTAACAAAAAACTAAAGACGGCCAAAATGTTATTAGCAAGGAAAATATAACATCTCATATAAGTGTGAAGCTCACAGTTACAAAGTGGAATGAAATGGAATTTTGAATTGTATGTGAATTATTCTAAGGAGCTGTAATGCACCTTCAACTAAAACTTTGATCCAGGATTCGCTGTTACTTGAGAGCTATATTTTCACCTTGAAAGTCTTGAATGTTAGATATTTTTGTTGTTTGCGTGTATCCCCAGGGATTACAAGCATTATAACAGTAAACTGCTGTGTAATTGATCATTATAAATCATATGAGGATTGACTTCTCAATGGGGAAGTAAATTCATAATTGATTAGTCTGATCTTGTCTGAGCTAAAACAATAATATTTGATCTTGTGTAATGCATAACTGTATTGTGTGATGCATGAATGATTTAGCAACTAGTAAGATGGATGGCAAGTATTCCTGTTATGAGAGTGCTGTTCGTATTTCTATCAAATTTAATGATTTATGATTTAGAACTTTTAACCAAGATTTTCAAAATTCACCTATCAATTGCTTATTTGGTGGACGTAGAATTCATGGAACCTGGCCCACCTAAACATCATGTTGAAGAATCTGCTTCTAGAATTAGTCCTATGACTCCTGTCTAATGAGAAGTGAAGTATGTTACTGATACATGGGAATATGGGAATTAGAAATAAAAAGGGGTAATTAGGGGAATTAGGGATAAAAGGGTAGTCTGGCTATTTGGGTATATTCTCTATAGATAGAGTATTTAGGGTGCAATGGAGGATGTGAATGAAATCAGTTTCTCTTTTCATCTATATTTCTCTTCTTCTTCTATCAATTACAGTCTTAATTACATATTGATTCTATCAATTTGGAATTTAATTTGCTTGGGCTAGCTAGGTAATTAATAGACGTGGTTTCCCTAATATTCTGTGACTTTCCAGTTTCCACCTTCCTTCCAGATAAAGGATTGAAGTCTCTTTGCTTGTTCTCTTCAACAATATGAGGAGGCAAAACTATGATAAAGATACATACACGCAGAAAGCAAAATTAGAATTACATGGGAATTCGATTAGATAAACTAAACTCGCTAACTCATCCTTTTTATGTAAGTACTCTTTTTAAGGTAAAGCTTATATGAGGCCTAAATTTTTGCGGTTGAATTCATGATAGACTTAAACTATGTTTCATTGTTAAGGAATTTGAATTTAAGTTTATAGTTTGGGAAGACTTATTATTTCAGAAGCTATTATTTTTTTTTTTTATCATGTATGGTTAATAAAGTGATATTAGTGAACAAACTGTCAGTGTTAATTTTATTTATTTAGGGACAGAAAACTCTCAAGTTTCTATTGTTTTTAGAGATGCAACTAATGTAAACGTTGTCAGTTCTTTCATGCAATATGGTGCTTCTAATCTGTTCATAATAACAAGCATCTATCGTTTTCATAAATCGTGAGTGTTGCTGAAGCTGAAGGGCTCATTTGTTTTTAATTTTATTCCTCCAACGGTTCATTGTCACAGGCTTTATCATCTGGCCAGCTACGCCCAGGTGGAATTGTTACTGAAGGGAGTGCTGGAAGCACTGCTATTAGCCTTGCTACTGTTGCCCCTGCCTATGGATGCAAATGCCATGTAGTTATCCCAGATGATGCTGCAATTGAAAAGGTATGTTAGAGATGTAATTAAGCAAGTCTCTTATGAAGTCTTGCCATAAGCTGTTCTCTGACTTCAGCCTCCTGGCTCTTTTTACGCATTGTAAGTGTAACAAAATAAGTGGAAAAAGTGGGTTGCAAGAAAAAAAAAATCCAAAAAAAAAGAACTAAGAGCATTTCTAACTGCAACTCACGTAACTTAGTTTTATGTGCAAAAAATGTGAAAATGGTTTTGGTTCTGACTGAAATAGACTGTCATTTCTCCTCAGACTCTCCTCTCCCTCTTCTACTGTGACAACTCTTTCACCATGAAGGAATTACCTTACAGGCTCAGATGATTGAAGCCCTAGGAGCTACTGTTGAAAGAGTTAGACCGGTATCAATTACTCACAAAGACCATTTTGTAAATGTTGCAAGAAGACGGGCATCAGAAGCAAACGAGTTTGTCTCAGAAAATATAAACAAATCACAAATGAATGGTGGGAACATTAAACCAATTAATGGTTACAGAGCTGATGGAGACAGCCACAATTCAGCTTTTCCCGTGGATTGTCAAGGTGGTGGCTTCTTTGCTGATCAGTTTGAGAATTTGGCAAACTTTAAGGCGCACTTAGAGGGTACAGGACCTGAGATCTGGGAACAGACGAATGGAAAGTTGGATGCATTTGTTGCAGCAGCTGGTACTGGTGGCACGTTGGCTGGTGTTTCTAGGTTTCTTCAGGTCCATTCCCCAGGTTCCTCTAACCTTTTGATGTTGATTATCATTCTGATTGTGAAAATTCCCTGAATTGTTTCCATATATTTTTCAGGAAAAGAATCCAACCATCAAGTGCTTCCTCATAGATCCTCCTGGTTCTGGTTTGTTCAATAAGGTAACAAGGGGGGTGATGTACACCAAGCAGGAAGCAGAAGGAAAAAGACTCAAGAATCCATTTGATACCATAACAGAAGGAATTGGATGCAACAGGATAACAAAGAACTTTATGATGGCCAAAGTTGATGGTGCTTTTCAAGGCACAGATATGGAGGCTATTGAAATGTCCAGGTAGTTCCTTAGTCTTTTCCGAAGCATGTTCTGTGTTCCAAGTCTCAGTGTTTCTTCTTCTCTTTTTAATCTTTTATATACCAACCTGAAAGGCTGATGAATTGGATTAAAATGTGGCCTTTAATCTTAATTATCAGGTTTCTTTTGAAGAACGATGGACTATTTCTTGGGAGTTCTTCGGCAATGAATTGTGTAGGAGCAGTTAGAGTAGCTCAGTCGCTTGGCCCTGGTCATACAATTGTAACCATTCTCTGCGACAGTGGAATGAGACATCTGAGTAAGTTCCATAACCCTCAATACCTGTCTCAGCTTGGCATGACTCCTAAAGCAACCGGATTAGAGTTTCTTGGTATCAAATGAGAATGTCAAATTCAAAATTCCATTGCTCCAACCTATTGTACTGCTGCCCCATTGCTTCGTGGCCTGTGATCTTTCTAAATCAGAATCGAATGCAGCTGAATTGTGTGAGAAAAAGAGACGAGAGAGTGACTGTGAGCAGGCTTCACTTTGGTAAGACTTACAATGAAGGCACAGAAGTGGGTCTCATTTCTCTCTCTCTCTCATCACTTCAGTTAAATTATTACTTTAGAAGATTTAGGCATGATCTTTGTGGGCGTCCGATGAGTGTGCCTCCTTGAACTTTGAGCTGGGTTTCTGTCGAGATTTGTTGCCACGTAAGCATAAGTGCCTATCATAAGTGGATGGCACCATAAGCCGAGGCTTGGGGAGTTTTGCGAGAAGAAAAAATCGGATTTCGTGTAAGACTGTTATTCGTTTTTCACTAGACTAATTATTTCTCCATCGCTCAAATGCGAGCGAACGGTTATGCATTCTCTGTCCGTGGAATTTGGCTAATTCAAATTGCCTGAGAATAGTGTGATGGATGAAGAGTTCAAGTCTTTTACTTTGGAATTATCAGATTCAATTCTACTGTGAGCGGTTCAACCATGGTTAAACTGAATTAATTTAGTAATGATTAAAATAATATAATTTAATTAAAATATATAAAGATAGTCATTGAACATTTACATATAAATTACATATAATCCAACAAAATAGAATCACTAAAATATAAATATGATGGACTTTTTTTCTGGTGAAAAAATATCATGGACTTTTTTTCTTTTTTCTTTTTTTAACTTGAAATGACGTGGTTTTAGACTCAACAAGGAGAGGAAAAATATAAAATTCAATCCAATTGATTTGTCCAAAGCTCTTGATCGGACTAGTTAGAGGATTAGTTTACTGATTTACTATTTTGATTGGACAACTTGAATTGAGTTTTAATATTATCCTTATGACACACTTTAGTCTCAGTAGTCTATGTACTCTGAGATAATGCATGAGGCTTCTGGTAAGTATTGTTTTGCTGTAAATATTGCTAGCAATGTCTATGAACACAAGGAAAAAGGAATCGTGAGTGTTTGCATGATATTTAACTAGACTTAATCTAAGTCACTATTAAGAATCAAGTTAACATGTTTGGAGCTAATCATGATCAGTTAACTTAAATGAATGCTAAATCCTAAATTCATGAATTCATGGTTCAAATTGAGTCCCCCCCCCCACAAACTTTAATATGATTAAATTACTGCTTAATTCTTTTTTTTTTTCGTATTAGGAGTTTGAATATTTTTTGTCACATAAAAAATGAATGTTATAACAATTTTAAATGCATTTATTTAAATTTTATTTACATGATATTTTAGAAAATAGTTTATTTTTTATCTTATACAGTATCATATCATATATTACCATGCAAAGGGTATTCATCAATTTACACAATGCATTATGTTATATAATGTGAGCCAAACATGATATAGTATTAACACTTCATCAGGTATTATCCTATTAGGCTCTCTCTATTTTTATTTTTATTTTTTGGTTTTTGGGGGGGTGGGGGGTGTTGTGGCGGCGAGAGATGGGCACTGATGTGTCTAACACGCAGTAAACCCAAATCGTTTAACCTTTTTGCCCCAAAGTAGACTCAACCTATACGTAAAAGATGGGAAGTTCAAGTCAATGAAATAAATGCAATTGTCTGTTGGAAACAAGCTTCATTTAATCGTTTTTGACATGTTTAGACTTGTGAGAAATCATTCTTAAAAAAAAAAAAACAGAGAAAGAAAGAGGGGCTAATAGGCATTTTTGTTCTTAAACTATTTTCTAACTAACACTCATGTCTTAAACTATTTGTTATAATAATTTCATCTTTAAAATAATTAAAGTGTAGCATAAACTATTTGTTATAATAATTTCATCTTTAAAGTAATTAAAGTGTAGCATATTTCCCCTTAATGTTAACTAATTCAACATTAACCATTAAAAATGTTAATGAAAATTTATGTTTGACAAAAAATGTTACCTATTATGCCAAGTTGGTTGGAAATTATGTTACATTTTAATTACTTTAAGTATAAAATTGCTATATAATAAATAGTTTAGGATATTGGATATTCCTTAAAGAATAGTACAAGGACAAAAATATACCTTAATTTAGATTTACCTGACATTGCATATGGCATTTTCATTCAGACTTAAGTCTTAGTCAGCATTTTTATCGATCAACATTGGGGTATTTAACATTATTGAAAAATATGCTACAATTTAATTATTTTATGAATGAATTACTGCAATAAATAGTTTAGAACACTAAGTGCTCCTTATAATGTTTCTAACATTAACCATCAACAAACCCCAAGTCTTCAAACCAATTAATTAGATTAAGAAAGGTACTAAAAAAAGATAGGATCAACATTAGGTATTTGAACTTAAGAAGAATTAATTATAAACATCTTTAAACAAATGGGATTCAAAAAATAACTTGAGTTTGAAAAAAATAGCTAAGACCCTTCAAAAACAATTAAGATAAGAGTAGAGACAATTTAGGAAGTATGGGAAAAAAAGTTTGATCATTGAAAACAAGTTAAATAGGGTTAAAAATGGTCATTTTTGCAAAATAAGGGCATGCTTTGTGGCCAGGTATGTATCCACCTTGACTTTTGGTACAAAAGCTACTTACCGTGGTCAAACACTTAATCCACTGTAATCGACACGCATTATGCCATTCATTACGGCCAACAACCCATTTTGCCATGACTAATAGGCCATAACAACAACAGATATGGTAGCATTCGAATTCCAACTTTTTAAGCATCTAACTTTTAATTTGGACCTTTAATTAAGGTAATCCAAACTGCCATATAAAACTAAATAGACAACTTAGCAAATGGCACAGGTCTTACCACTATTTGGTAATATATGGGATTTTTGGACACCTGGGACCAAAAGTATACCACTTTCTCACCATGTATCCAACACCCCAACTAAAACCATTAGTCTCAACCAACTAATGAAACATGAATTTTTTATGATTATCAATACTCATTCATAAACTTATAAAATTACAGCTTAACAAATAAAACTAGATTTTAACCCTATGCGATGCACGATAGTTTAATGTTTGATTTGATTTGAAGACAATGAAAAGAAAGTGAGAAAAAGATTTTAATAACATTGAAAAATACAAATAAATAACAATATATTGCACCATAATTTTTAAGGTTATTTTTTAATAAATAGTGATCAAAGTTATTTTTTATTAACATCAAGAATCAGATTGTATCATTTTTAAAAATTAAAAGAAAATATTATACAAAAGATGAGTTTACCTAAGAATTTTTTTTGTAATTTATATTTTTTATAATTTGCTATCCATATAAAAAAATTAGTACAATATTTTATTTTAAAATTTATAACCCATGCAATGTATGGGAATAAAATATACTCTCTTTATTCAAAAATATAAAAAAATTTTAACCGAATCTCACCCCTCAATAGAGTAGTTACTTACTTTTAAATTAACTCTATTTTTTCATATTTATCCTTATTAAATACTCCACAATAAATATAAAGTCATTCATTAATAAGGACACTTTTAAAAAAAAGACAATAATTATACATCAAAAGACTAAAAATATCTTACATTTTTGAACACCCAACTCCTCAAAAAATATCTTATATTTTTTTAATAGAGGGAGTAAGTCATTTTTAATCAAATTTTATCTCTCAATAAAGTAGTTATTTATTTTTAAATTAACATCATCTTTCTACATTTACTATTTAATTGGATGTTTAACTCTAAAATAATTACACCTTTAAACATTAAAAATATCTTATACTTTTTTACATCCAAACCTTGAGAAACAACCCTTAAAAAATACCTTATATTTTTTAACAAATGGAGTAAGTTTACTAAAATAATATTTGAAACACGTATGTGTAAAAAAAAACTTAACGAAATAAGAGATAAATTAGTCAATATAATTTGTTTCATGGTCATTTAAATTTTATTACATATCTAACACCTATTATTTTTACTAAGACTCTCATATCCACATATAATTTTTACTATGAATCCTACATAAATTATAGGTCCCGCAATCATTTTTTTACCATTGGTAATTTCTTTGCATATCAAATGCCTATTATTTTTATTAAAAATTTTATATTCACCGTTAGTTTTTATCATGGATTTTACATAATTTTTTAAAATATAAAAATATTTGTATTTTTTACACATTGTCTAAATTTTTAACTTGCATAAATGTTAGTTCCACACCCAAATTTTTTAATAGTAGATCACATGTTCACTTTTTTATTGAGTCCTGTAACTATATAATTTATGTTTTTAACAAAATCATCTATTAACTAATTTTAATTTTTTTAAAATAATTAATAATTTAATTTTATTAATTAAATTATATGTCCCACATCCACTTTTTTATCATTAGAAAATTTTTTATATATCTAACACCTATTATTTTTATCATGATCTTTCAAAATATAAAAATATTATTATATCATACACCTTGTTTAAATTTTTAAAATTTATAAATATATGCCCCCATTCACATTTTTTAATGATAGGTCTACACACTATTTCTTTAAACCACACTACTCTAATTTTTAAGAAGATCAAGTTTATTAAAATCTCATATTCTCTCCATTCTCATTAGATCTTCAAATCATATTGATTTTAAAATATATAAACATATAAAAATCTATAGTCAAGCCTAGCTATTGCACCCCTAACTTTCAGATGTATTTAGGTTGGTTTAATTATCTAAATTTTTAAAAATTATTTTATTTTATTTTTCTCTTTATTGAGTCCATAAATTCTGTTTTTAAAATTTTTTTGGCCAATTTATATATTTAACTTCCTAAAAAGTTACAAATTTAATTTTTTTTGATAATTTAAATGATTTTTAGACAATATTTATATTTAAATAGGAGCATTTTAGTTCAACACATATGATTTAATGGTCAAATAATGGTTAGATGGATAAAAATAAAATTTAAAAAAAATAAAAGGGAGGCTTGTATTTTATAACTATTTATATTAGAAAAAAATGGTCATATAAGTTTTAAAAAATAGAAGACATATATCATTAATTAAGATAAAACAAAGGAAATGTCAAAACATTTCATTTTTAATTATAAGTTTCATATTAACAATTTAATTTTTTGAAGATCCTACATATACCTCTTTTACTACAATGCCAAGATAATTTTTTATCTTTTTTTATTTTTACCATATCATTTTTAAACAAAAAGTAACAAATTTTTTTTTTTAAAAAAAAAGACAAAGTTGAAGTGGCACTGTAGATGGGTACTGATTTGATAGCTACCAATTTTTTTTTAACCAAAAACAGCTACCCATCTAAAAAGGTTAACAAAAAAAAAACAGAGATAAAGTCAGATGGCGAATTGTAGATCTACAGTACTCCATCCAAGATCTACAGTATCCATCCGACGGCTTTTATAAAATATTATAGATTCAAATACACACTTACATCTTTGGCCTCTACTCAAAAATACAAGAGGCCACCAACAAAAAATGGCCAAATCCA